ACTTAACGAAGGACCTTCGAACCTCGAAACCCCATTACTCTGTGCGATTCTATAGCAGAAACTTTAGAATGCCCTTCTTGTGGCACCCCAGATATAATCGTAAGGAAATTTGCTTTCGGTGATGATGAACCCTTCGCTTCCAGTAATTAGAGATTGTTCGTATCACATAACGTGGTTTGTCAAAATTAATTGCCACCCCGAGCGAAGGGCATTTTCTTCTGCACAGGGCCTAAATCGATTTATAACAACTGTTTTTATTTCTTTTGCAAGTGAGCTAGCAGACAGATGTGCTGATAAGAGCCTTTTACATCCAGGAATTACGATCACCTTTGCTCGCCTTCGTATATTCAGAAATTTTCTATACTGAGAGCTTCCATCGTGAATTTAGCAACAATACAGCAACTCCTTTAATATGAAATTCTTTAAAGGGTTATTTCGTCGTAATAGCCAGGCATTCCCTCTGAGACTAGCCTTTTGCCAGCTCTAATTCTTTTAGCTGCCGCTAATATCCCTTCAGGTTAGACTTTTAGAAATATCATTCCTTTCGTTAGCCTTTTGCACAAAGACACGCGGTCAACGTGTGGGTGGGAGGAATATAGCGACAAAGTAGTTGCCCTATTAACCTCATACGAACTCTCAACGTTTCTCTTGACGTGCATTTCAACCTATACCATTTTACATGGGGTACCCTCATGGATCGTTCTTAACTTCCTCCAAGAATTCACTCCAATTAACTTTCTTACTGAGCTAAATATACTTTTTCAATTTGTGCCTTACGACCCTATACTCCATTAAACTTGGTTTTGCTTCTTGTTATTCCTCTGTAGTCGTTATCCTTTTGAGGCTTTTTTTAGTCACGTAGCCCTCTCGTTCCGGTACCTTGTTCTAACTCGTTTCTTTCTTTTTTTTTTCTTTTTTATTATAATATTCACTAGATGCATCAATATTGCTGCGACTAGTTGTCGCAGTTCTTGTACTCATTTTGGGTAGCCTTTGTTGAGATTTCATTCATAGAATTGATGGTAACATCTTTTTCCCCGAAACAAAGATTTTCTCTGCCAGAGCCGAGACTGTCACTCGGCTGATACGGAATACCCAACATTGTGGTGCCCGCTCAAGCTAGAAAAAAATGAAAAAGTATGCTACTAGAGCTGAAAACAGTATAGATAATTTCTTGGAAGGTGCCGAAGGAATAGATTCTACAGTATTCTGTTTGAAGCGTTTGTTGTACTTAACATGGTTGTCTATTAATATGGAGGCCATTAATGTCAGACTAATATCATTGGCATTAGACCAACATAATCGGTGCCACAACGGATCCAACAAAGATAAGCAGGACACAATGACAGACATGAGTCCTTTTTTAAGACCTTTCGAACCCTGCAAATGTTTGCTATAGGTTTAGCTAGTTTAAGCTTCAATTGATGTATGCAGCAACGCAGCTAGAGAGCTGGCCTAGTTCTAAAAGGGACAGCCTTGTATATACAACTAGAGCTAATGGTAAGATGATATAATAAATAATTTGGATTTAGTGTCCGTCTAACTTCGTCGGCATAGTCTTTTGAGGTTTTGAGGCGAATCCATTTTACTCCTTCCCCATTACAGGACAATTCTTGAATGACTTATTCATGTTTAGCGCCCGTCTCGCCTAGCTTCCTTTGGGTGAATGCTTATTGCTAAAACTTTACTTGCTTTCTTGACTTGAAATCGAATCTCAAAAGCTTGGTCAGTACCGTCAACCACTACAAAGCTACTATCGTCTTTTCTTTTTGTGCCGTCAAGTCGCCCCACCCGGCTCCTTTCTTTTTTGGCGCCCACACAAACTCTGTAATAGACTTTACTCTAGTAACCCCATTTATTCATGATCCCGACTGCCTGCACTGTCTCCGAAACAACTGAGTTGGTACTGAGTTTCCTCTCCTATAACCTGTTTCTAGAGTAAAATCACTAAGGCGTATCTATTAATTTAATCTCATGATTACGGACCTATCATTGGATTTTAACAGGCGCGTGCATAGAATTTTGCATTAATCTTGATCCTTAAGCTAATCTGCTTTCACTGTTCGTAAACCATTCATAGCAAGTAACAGCTAACCGCTAAATGGAAGGACCTAATTTATCAAGTTACTATCAGCTGTCTTTGTGGTAGTTCGTAAAAATACGAGACATAGATTGTTGTTAGCTGACAACTCTAGTCATTATCCAGCTCCATCCTAAGTCCACTATGGGCTTTAGAGTTAATTATGTGGAATGGCAAAATATTATTATTGCTCAGTACTGCTTTAAGAACCTGTCGATTGAATCAACTTGCGAATGTTAGTAAGGTTGTTAAAAGTCCTAGATAAATAGTCATTTGATGTCTTGCTTTTGTTCAATGTGTCTTTCGTTTTAAACTTCTTTGGACTTTTCCCAATAATCTCTATTGTACCAGTGAGATTTGAACCATCTTTGGTGTGGTATTCAGACAGCACTTATTGGATAAGACTGATTTAGAAGAATATGAGAATACGGCAATAACAGCAATTAATAAAATGAGATAGATTATCTGAAGCATCTGATGGGCCATGTCGCCCACTTACTCGCTAAGAAGATACTACAGCGGATAGAAAGAGTTTAAAGGCTAATCAAGATCAGAGCAAACAAAAAGTGTTACCCTAAGTTACCGTCACGCTGTTTTGATGCTTTTTGTTTATAATTTTACGGGAGATATGCTGAACCCAAGACAAAGCAACTCTTTTGGTATAGTATTATAATGGATATTTCCACGTACCGGCATTCTGTTGTCGCGGTAGTTCCCTGTATGGAAGTCGTATTGTGTTCGACGCAATTTGACGGGATAATTAGCTCAGAGGATGCATGACTCTTAGATCCAAATCTGTCGGCATGTTTTGCAAAAAACACATGTCGTTCTACAATGGGTTAATGATAGGGAGTGGGTTTTCTTGACGTTGACGTGTCGTCTTACAGCGGATATTTTAGACAATCTAATGCTACGATATTCGTACGTCATCCTAATTGTCCAACGCGCAGAACGATTGTCTTTCCAATCTTTCTGCCACTTCGATCCACGATCTCAACATCCATAATCTTTAATAAGCTAGTTTTTGCAGCTTCCATATGGGATGAATGGAATCAGAGTGTCAATTGCTCCTAATTATTACTATACCAATGTAAACGATTTTCTTTGTTCTTCACTTCTGGAGCTTCAGACCTTTCATACAGTCCGAATCGAAATTGTCCTAATGTCTATATAGCAGCAATACGACCAAAGTGCTACTCTCTTAGCTGTCATCATTTCCACCTGTTTTCTACTGACGGTCTAGCCGGGCTGCAACTCCTAGCATCAAGTTCGCATTGCAAGTCGGGACTAGGCTATTGAACACGGCTGTACAACGATCACTCTATGCGTCCATCTTGCTCGTTCGTTCATGCCTCTAAGATATGAGTGCGGGGTAAGGATCGAATAGATAGAGTTCCGTACAGTAAACAGACTGTCTTCTCTTACGTCGTGTCCGGTGTGGCTTCACCATCGTTATACTTCCAGCTGCTACTGCTCGGTTCCTGATTCATCTTGAAAGACACATAAATAGCTGGATAAGTTCACATCAAATAGGTATCTCACTTGTGTGCGTTTAATCCTTTTCTATGCTCTACGTATGTAAATGAGCTGGACATAGGATATTTCATAATTATTCTCAACTCATATTTAAATACTTATAAATCACAATATGCTGATGGATCATCAAGGTTTTTTTGATTTAGTGCTATATATATATTCAAATTATAAGAGCCCATCAACTACGTGTGAGCAGAAATTCACAAGTTGGGTAACCATCATGTAAATCAAAACCGGAAAAAAAACTGGTTTCGTTGCTTACAAATCTAAGTATAGCTTTAGAAACTAATAGGAATACAAAAAATAACATTATGCAAACGTTGTTAATTTAATGACCATCACTTAGTCGTGCTAATTTAAAGTTGATCACTTGATTGGTATGACGCAAGCTCAATTCGGTATTGGGGGTATGTTGACAAATTTGTGAAATAGCTCATCGTACACAGATTGATATAAGGACGACGTAGTGTTGCAAAAATTACGGGCCGCTAGCCTAATATTTTTACAACGCTAGGTAGTCCCTAGGTTTGGACGTGCACTTCAGGTACTTGCGAAAGCCGCGACGTACTCGTGTATATGGGCTCAAATCACTTTACTTAAACCAAGGTTTTTTTTAAAAAAAGGATATCAGTTCCTCTAACTGCGTGTTGCTTTTTGTGGTGGATTTCGGCAAGTTCCACTATTGTAATTCGTACGGAACTCAAGAATTATTTTATTGGCGACAAAGGAAAACAGAGGGGTCAGAAAGGCCTAGAAGATGATGGTTCAGCGAGTTTAGGATGCGAGGTGCGCTAAGGCTTAGCAGGCCATCGTCGCTGCCAAGAGAAGAAAAAGGACAAGCGACCCAGACATGCTTCAATGGCAGATGGACACCGAGTTGAAAACGAATGGAATAGGGTGAGTTGATACGTCATCTTTATTAGATACTGCAGATGGAGGTGACTGTTAGCGCTGGAAAGTCTAAGCAGTGTTATCTGCATCTGAGTTACGCCAGTAAACATGTCACTAAAGATATGTGCATATATAAAGGAGAAACCGATTAGTCGAAGGACGTAGGCAATAGCAATAAAACAATCATTATTATTTTTCAATAATCTTTCAAGCTAGATATACGGCTTACCTACTCCATGATTCATAACATTACCAATATATGAAAACGAGCCTAGGCCTCTTTGCATTTAAAGTAAGTAATCTGAGTCCTTTGCTCGAAGAGAAAAATTAAATATGACATGTTGTATGTGCCACATTAATATCGAATTTGCTATGTGCTCTATGCATGAAAGTTAACTAACAAACTTATTGATCAGTCAGTTTGGGGCTAAAAGTCAGTAGTAGTACGCATTTCTGTTCCATAGACCACAGCATGCTGCCTATTGGTTTGGATTGGCAAAAAGGATTGATAATCAAGAAGATAACGAATTAATTGTTGCCATGACATAAATCTATTGGAGAAACCCCAGGTAAGTCCAGCATGACCTACCTCAATTAGATTTCTAAAGGAGCTAAATCGTGTTACGTTGTAGTTAAGAAATGTGATTTCAAACATTTGTTTACATAAAACACTAACGATTATAAAAAGTTATCAGTTTATAACCCAAAAATGCGTGTCTGTACAAAAAAGGCGTAAATCTAGACGAGTGAGTTGAGATAGCGAAAAATTGAGGTAGGCTTACAGTCTAAGTAAAGGAAAAGGGAAAAAGTCATCTTTAGAATGCGTCTATTATTCTACACGAAAACTTCACAACAAAAATAATCATTAACAAGTACACGATTATGGCAACTGTTGTAAAGTTGTTTGTTATTATTTACTATTTTCTCATTGTACGTTTTTTATTTAGTAACAACCCGGTGAGGAGAGCTCTATTATTGCACGAATTGGTGACAGCAGCATTGCTAGTGAGCCCCTTGCACGCAACTCAAAGGTTGACTCTTCAACCACAGTTGTTTCAATTCCCGTGAGAACAAAACCTTTTGCGTAGGATGAGTCCTCAATAATTGAGACAGTCGCAGGCTTTTTTAACCTATTAACAACATAGCTAATGAACTGAGAAAGATACGTATCGCAGTATTGAAATTCATTAGATAACCAGTATGAAACCCTCAAGTTTATGGGTAGAGTCAAAACTGTATGTATTCAGTAGGACAGCAAGTGGCAGGGGACGCATCTTTCAAAAAGCTTTGAATCGATAACAATAAGTCGTTAAGAATTGAGGCTAGTTTTGACTTGGGGTTATTAGGACGGACCTAACCAGGACAGGGACGTATTAGTGAAGATAAATTTAATCGGTTGGGCAAATGGTATATATTCAATTTCAGCTATTGAGACAGAACTAGAACAGAAGGTTTTATTAATTTATGATTTGCTCCGAAAACTTAACATTGTTTGATTAACGGCCTTGGGAAAATTCGTCTTTCCAAGATTGTTGTGAGCCATAAAAACAAAGAGGGCGTTGCAAACAGGGTACATCAGGTATGTTTGAGTTCGGTACGACTTATATTTAACTTATTTGTCACAGTGAACAAGTTGAGGATATTTCAAGACTCTAGATGTGTTTTTTTGCGTTCTTCGAGTCAATCTGTTATAGCTCATAGTTGCGCATTCAACTTTTCTACCATAGTGCTTTAAGTCAAAGGTCTATGTGCCAGGGATTTCTGCGTATGCATAGCCACGTTATATGCATTAGTACACAAATCCATAACTGTAAGAAGTCTTTCCTTTCTTTTTTCATAACATAATTGCAAATGTTGAATATCCATCATAGTTTGTTTCAACTTTTAAATATTAAGCATTAAACACAAAGTAAACGTTTCTTATGCTTGTATCCATAGTCTTGTCTCGACGAATATCTCCCTGATTACATATATCGGGGTTCTATATTTTTTTAATGAAATTGCTTTTATGAACCCTGTCTGTCCCTTATAGTGCCAACGTCAAAATAGTTACGAATACCCGCAACATACTTCCTTCCGCCTGATTTTGCTCAACAAAGCGATTTCCATCAAGATGCTAGCGCTTTCTTAAGGCATCTACTAATCGCTACTGTACAGATTAGGTAGAGATTCTAAGGTTTTGATGGTCGATTCATCTTTCGTTGTTTAAAAAGTCGTTGGTCCGTTATTCCTTGAATAATAGCAGAGAGGCTGGCGACGTATATGACGTGGTATCCGACCAGGCCCCGTATAACATCTGCTTTTCCTTGGAATGGCTATTATAAAGAGGCCGTACGCACCGACTCCGGTCGAATCTAGACACATACCAGAGGCAGGATGTATAATCGATTGGTGGAATAAACCACAGGTGAGCAAAGAAACCCTCGGCAGATCAGATGTCGTCATCTGGGTTGAAAAGACTGTCATTGAAAACAACGAAGGGTTGAGGTAAGGTTTTAGTGATCTCGTGATATGGGGAGAAGACCAAGTCTTTTGTAAGATAGCTTAAATGTACCCATTACTATCCCCAGTCCGTGCAGAAGCTGCAGTGCACGTATTCATAAAACCAGAGATTGGCGAAAACCTATCTGTTGTTAGACATTATGTCTCCATGGATTTTGTCCAAGTGGCTAAAATTTGGGAAGATTATATTCGGAACTTGTCACTAACGGCGTTGAAGGACACCTTTACTTTGAATGTATCAGGAAGAGTTCTGGTATCCAACCATACACCAAGGTGCTACGAATGTAAACTTCCGTAGTTTACACTGTGAAAGAAACGATCCGAAGTAAACAACCTCCAATGATGAAGACGTCCACCCTAAGAGACCAGTTGGCATTGTATATACTTTCTGGCCAGAAGTTTACTTCAGACAAAGGTAGCGATAAACGTATATCATTGTCATAGAAGCCGAGTGATGGACGGGTTCGACTAAATTATTTCATTATGAAGAATTGACTAATTGCGACAATTGTTCCTCTCGCATCTATAATCCTTATTAATTTAAATGTGGCATTCATTTACCTGTGCCCAGTCAAACATGAACCGAAAATCCTCTGGTTCTAAATTGTCGGCGATATCGCCAACTCTACTCGACAGGAATAAGCATGCGACGAAGAAGGTTGCTCAGGAGCGCGGTAACGAACATTTCATTTTGCTAGAACAACATCGCAAGGTCCTACGAGCTCATCAGCGGGTCTTCTTATGGGAAACATTCACCCGAATCTAGAAGGGGAAATAGACAATAGCACCGTCGTCGTACGCTTTAGCTAGTTATCTTCGAGATTTTGTAGCTCTCGTAATTGCTATCGTGCGCTCCACGAGGAGACCAATTCTAATTAGGGAGGAATATGTCAGAAAGTAACGAGACTGGTCGCTAGCTCGAACGCGATATTAAATCAGAAGATTGTAAAACAGCGGTTCATGGCGTTCAAATATATCTAGAAAGATAACTACACCTCAGTGGCCGCAAATTGTATAATGAAGAGTAAGGCTGAACCACGGTTGCCGCGACTGCTTGCTCAAGGCAATACGAGCAGAAAAGCCCTCAATGTACCCGATAACGTACAAATCGCATCGCATCATGTATCTTATGGGGCTGTAACGTTATGTAGTCGGTAATAAGTGTTCAGCAAAGAAAATTTACGAATCGGCACCTTTCTAGATTGCCACAAGAGGACTACTGGAAATTACTTAGCGAATTAAAGTTGTCTTTGTCAGTTCTCCTGACAAATCCTGAAGATAATAAATCATTTTAGGGTTTAAGCGAGAAATTTAGTGAGCTCGGAAAAAAATCAGGCGAGTGCAGACGGTAAGCGGAAGAGAATACCTTGTTTAGCGATTCAGCTTACAGGAGCAAAAGGAGAATACTATAGGTGTACTAAAAAGTATACCAGGTAGTGACCAAGTTTATGTTAATCCGATCGAGCGTTGTACGGTGTACTTATGCATCGATACATATTATTTGGTATGAAAGCGTAGCCCAAGCTGAAATAGTCTCTTCAGCGTAAGTCAAAGCTAACTAGTGACTGAAACGGACCACGGAAACTCTCAAAGGGTCGAATATACTAGGTGCTCAAGAGGTTCTCCTTCGGTGTTAGAGCACGCTGGGAGAATGTCATGGTAAAAAACATAGTAGGCTGCTTTGGTAAATTTGAGAAAAGAAGTGATTAATTTAACTTGTCAGGTAAGATTATAAGCATGTGGTCCTTGACAGGTTATAATAATGTCGTGTCACACTAAATCAAAGGCATTACTAAAATCAAATTTAACAAAAAATGCATGTCACGGCAGCTGAGAATAACTAAGTGCATCACATGAAACCCGTCTCCGTACTATCTGGGCCCAAATCCAAGCTGAATAAAGACCCAAAGCAAAAGGGATTCGTTTTTTAAGCACTCCATAAAAAGTTTGGGTGGCCATTTTGCCTAAAATCGCTATAAGGCGTGCAGATTTGTATTTTTTTTCTTTAGAGCGAACAAGTGGGCTATAAATATTCACTTGGTCCCATCGGATAATGCATGTCCTCTTACAATATCGGTCATTGCTGTCAGCATAGTAACTAATCTGTTAGCTGCATTTCCGAAGATTGGTCACAACACATTCTCGGCAAAGTACAGTCTGTCAAAAACTGTAAAGTCAGATTGAGCCTATCAGAGGGGCGAGTTTCGTGTCAAGCCGTACAAGTTAGTTATTTCTTAGAACCCTTAGTTTTCCGGTCCCTCGGCTACTGGGAGATCTCTGCGAGCCTTAGAGCGCTTGTAATAAAAGCAGGAATGTGACTGAGTCAAAGGTGTCTGGTTTTATTATAAACACTTCTAAAATGAGGTAACTTTATAGAAGAGCGTCTTATAACCTTCAACCAGGGATCCAAGAGCATGAGGACTGAGACTGTGATATTTTCAGGATTTTCGGCCACAAAGACGTTTGTTGCGGGAAACAGTCCATCGAGCGGCCTTCGGCTAAGCCTTATCGGTAATAATGTAGATCTTGGCACCTGGATACACTTCCTCAACGGAGACACCGCAGAAAGCAGTAGCATAGAGAAGCCTTAAGCTTTCCAGATGAGTTAAGTATCATAGTTTTTGAAAATGATTTACATGTTTCAGACACTAACCTCCACTATGACATTGTTGCTCCCACAAAGGAAAACCAGCTTCGACCCGGATGCACAAACAATTAAATTGTTTTTTGATCCCTGAAGATCGAAGTCTGGTGTAAATAGTTTCAAAAAACGTGAGCAAACTACTTGAATTTAACGAAGAAGTTCACAAGCGTTCTCTGCCTATATTCGTAAACACCTTGTAGACCTTTTAAGCAATACGAAATGTCCGCATTTAGTTTTACAGCGTAGAAGTTTCGCGACTTCTTTGTTTGGTATTTTTAAACACGTGTTTTAAAAATCCGTAACTGCCATCTCCAGATACCTTTTCAGTTTTACTCTTTTCGCTTTTACATTAGTCCTGTTTCTTCCTCTTAATAAACATTGTCATGCTGCTTGTCATACACACACTATCATCCTGACTGGATTCATGAGTTCCACCAGGCTAAAACAACTGAAACCCTTTTATAGCATTAGATTTTTGTTAATGCCTTGCGCCACCTAATAAGATAACAGGAGAATTATTTATATATTATATAGGACTTTATTGCATTCGTTGAATTAGACGACTCCTAGGGACGGAGCTGTCCATTCAGCAATCACCAACTAAGCTCTTGGAGAAGCAAGGGGGTAGATAATGTTATGTAGCACTTATGTAAGTGCTCCCCGTACACGTGCGCTCCGTATATATACATGTATAGATTGAACGTATCAGAATACCAATGCAAATGAAACTCCACAGATATATTCCCGGAAACATCTAAACGATACTAAACAACGTGCTATTTTTTTATTTCAGGTGCTTCCATCAAAGTACACGTTTATTGTTTGACAAATAGTGAATTATCTAGTTAAGAAGTTAATTCGCTCTCATGGAAATGTGAGTAACATTTTCTTGAAGACCATAACAAGCAAAAGATCGCCGTACTGCCGGCAGAGCATTCGTCGTCATCCATCGTATATCCACAAATGCTGCTTGTTTTTTACGTGGACATAACGAGCTCTAAAGTCTTGGATTGAAATAGTAAAGTGGCTAATATCGACAAACTGCCTCTTGTAATCTATAATTTAGTTTATCAAGCCCGTAGCCATCGTCTAGATATAGTGAAAGAACGTATGTTATATAGTAAGTAGCTGCTTATGGAAAGAAAGCTATCTTTGTTCATATATATGCTACAGTTCCGTTAAGCTATCGCTGTTAGTGCTCATTGTCCGCTTTTCCCTAAGGGAACGGTGAAATAATTTTCAAGTGTAAAAACTATTCGGCTTTCCGTTTTCATTGCTATGTGCTGTGCTAAACTATTATCAAAAATATACGACTTTGAAGATAAAATATCGACACATGTACTTTAATTTGCCATATTGAATAGGCTCTAGTGAGCAAACTTCCAAAACGTAAACACAATATCAAGAGAAGCTCCAAGAATATAACTTCATCGTCGAGCAAGATATTTTGACAGACTGTAACGAGTAGTCTAAGAACAAAACAAATCGGATTAGTAAGCAGGAATAATAGTATCTGCTAGAACGTATGCGTGCCTATATATTTGTGTTTGCATTAAATAAGAACTACCTTGCTATAAACTTAACTTTGCACACTTTTGCTTCGCTGTTTGACTCTGGTTATTCTAGTCTATGCCAAACGCCAGCTCTTACCATATCGTGTACACCTTCGACGGCCATAAGATTAAATTCTACACTTTTATGACAATTCGGCTTCATTCAAAAAATTTATGGAACGGCTTTAAAAGCGCCTATTGAATGCCTAACCTCTGTTGACGCTTAATCTCTTGCTTACGCTTTTCAATTACGCCAATATCTTAGATGTTTAGAACACTCGAACAATTTATATCCTCCTCATGGATACTTAACATAGCGATTCAACCTACTAACTACCAGCATGTATTATTGGACAACATCTTCGTTCTTATTATTGCTACTTCACTTATAGAGTGCGCGCAGAGAAGAGGAGAGCTCGTCACGGATCGTCGCATCGATCGTAACCTTGAAAAGCCCTCATGCAACTTTTGGTTAAAGAATTACACACCCAAATTCCGTTATTGTATCACACGTAGACGATCAGGGAACGTTCTAAGGCTTGATCAGTACAGTATCATCTTCGCCATTATGATCATCAGCATCTGTATCATCGTTGGGTTCGTGTCCCATAGAAATACGACTGAATTAATTTTAATTTCCATGCTTACTTGGGTATTGGTCCACTCATGGCTGATTCAATTTCATTCCATTTGGCTATGGGTTGCTATTTTATGTCCATAAAAGTGTGAACGTGGAATATGGCACAGCTGAGCTCAGCTATTAGCTTGCTATACTATTATAGATGAAGCGGAGAGTTACAAGCCGCAGTGCCATCAACAGAAGTAACAGCAAAAGCAACGAAGACAGCTATCGTAATGAAATAGGAAACATTTTTTTTCTTTCTCTATAGATACTGATAAGAACCGAAGTTCATACCTGTGGAGAATAATAATAACTCGATCGATGAACAATAAACTGGCATGTACATATATAGACAGCCAAAGTGGATAGGACTAGTTGTCGTTTAGGGCCATTTGGTCTTTTGCTTCCTTTTTGTATGCACGCGGAGAGACGTGTATACGAATCCACGACCAGCGTTCGAATAAGCTGAACGTCACTTTAGAGGCAACGGCAGCAGCAGCAGAAGTGTGAAGATCGTCTTAAAATCTAGCGACAGTTGTACCATCGGCTACTATTACCATGATTATTGGTGTTATTAGCGCTGTTATAATTATTGAAACCTGCACTTGGTCAATTGAGCAAAGAATAGACTTAGAAGCAAGTGAAAGGAGTTGAATGGAGCGGCATGAAGAACGGGAATTAACAAAAAACGCGATGAACAGATGCAGAACATATTTCTCCAGGTTTTTGATGTAAGCACCTTAAGAAATCAATATAGTTCGTTTTTGTCGAGAGTCTACCGTAAAATAACAAACATATCTCTTAACGTAACACAAGGGCAGTCTTACAGAGCATCTTACATACAGAGCTTTAAATCTGCGTAGAAACAAACTTTTTTTTTCTCTAATAAAGTAAACGTTTTTCACTTGTTAACCGTATCCATTATGAGCATTTACATAGTTTTGTTAATATCAGAAATCTAAGCATAGCACACCCGTTGATCTGAAAAAACCTATAGAAGAAATAATAGTACTACCATTATCTGAAATTTAACCTCCGAAGAAAAACTGTGAAAGATTTACACTTTCCAAAAAACAGTTCTCGACATAAAGAGGCATCTGACAAGACTAAAGGGTCAGCAGTGGAGCGTCATATAGACAATGGTTATGATCCTATTTTTAATACAGTCGAAGTACTACACACATATATCGATTGGTAAAAACTTACACGTATCCGACCTTTAAACAATAGTTCGTGAAGTTTAGATTCTTTTTTCCGGGATTGTGCAGCGGTGACATGTTTATTTACTAAATTTAAGGACATTTTAAACTTAAGAGTCAGGCACTCTAGGTTTGAAACCAGGCGTAGACTTTGGTTTCGCACTGAGGACCACGCGTTCGAAGCAATACTGAACAGAAACTCCAGACATTATTTAGAGAAGATTTTATATTTTCAAATGTTGCATTTTTTTAAGCGTTCGAATCCGTGTAATTGTGTGATTATAAGTCAGGCTTACGTGTACCGTTCCGTATACTATTCGTAATTTAAGGGAAGAGTGGTAAATCGGAAGATATTAATCTCCCAGGGTCTTTTGGGCGCAAGAAATACAGTATACAGAAGGTACCAGCTTAGCACCCCATCATTTACCAGGGTCAACTTAATTTATAAGTAATATGTGAAGTGTTTTTCTTATTGCTAAAATTACCTTTGGCAACGAGAAAAAATATTTAGACCAAATGTATCATGCCTCGAATATAAGATTTACCTTAATATAATATAAAATAGATGCACCTTTTTAGCGCCAGCTTAACTTACTTAGTAGCAATGGAGGCAGCCTTCTGATGCGATGCCTAACGGCGATGCCGGATGTAAAACCCGAAACATAAAAAGATTAGAAATATCTTTCTCAACATAGCAATACTCGCAGATGCAGTCTGTTGCTATTTTTACATGGGTACTTATTTCAACGCCACTTCCGACTTTAGAAGTGTCATTTAATTAGATATCGCCGCCCAGCTCTCATCCTGAAACATTCAGTTCACCATGGCCTCAATCCTAAAAGAGGCTTCTCTAGTTTCTCCCCTTTCCTTCTCGAAAAGTTTGCAGAATTCCAGCGTGCGCTTCACATCGTTTCACATCCTAGCGTTGCATGTGATGCACCAATCATTTAGCGCCTTGCATATTGCATGAAGATACGCTTGGAAACATTTGTAGCTAATAAAATAAGCATGTAGATGTTACCTAAAGCCTTTGTCGTACCGCTTTTTAACTTTTGGCATCAAATAGTAGGAAAAGCGAGATGATGTATTACGGGAGAAGTTGAGCACATATATAATTTTTCTTCTTTTATTTCAGACATATCTAGTACTTCCCTGGGCATCTGGGCTTTCAAGTATTAAGCCTTTCATAAGTGTAGTGACAGTGTAAAAGCTACTGATATCGCCAATATAATACGAAAGCTAGGAATAAGTTCAGTGCACAACCATTATGTATATATGCTGAGTAGAGCTGCAGGGAGTGCTAAAATACAAGACTTTTGAAAACTATTATGATATTTAAGGAGGCATGTACTCGACGATTTGCCACAACAACTTTTTCATAAGTTAATTGCATTATGCAATTATACGACTTACCGAGGTCATTTGAGCATTTAATTCACAATAACTTTTTAGATTAATTTCATCTACTACTACTATGTGATGTACCTACAAAAAATAGTCTGAAAAGAAACAAATTCAATCAAGAATAGGCTTCGTCCACCGTGGTAATATTATAAGCTTAATCACACTGCATTTACCGGTCTTGCGCCAAACAAGGTTCGGCTATTTTGGACAAATCTTAGAGAATCGGTCTATCGCTGCCATCGAAGCAAGATCGCTCCATCCAACTTAACTACTTGAATTAATCGCTTTTACGTTCCAACCGGCTGGATATGTTGAAAATTGACGGAAACTGTTGTTTTCTTACATAATTTTTACAGCGCCCCTTCTTGCACTTGAAGCTTCACTTTGCAGTCTGTTGGGAGGAGTTGGCCACCCTGTAAGATAAGTCCATCCGTTAACTGTTTTACACGAGTACTCTTTTTAGCAGAGTGCCATTTAGCGAAGAGCATTAATTGTCTTTTATTGTGGTGACTGCCTCTGTCAAGCAAAAGCTGTGTAACGAATCCTTGAGGTCTATTTTGTCTTACTTTATGTATTCATTTGTCGCGTTGATAAGCAATTAACTAGGTAGTGGCTAGACCCTCGGCTCATCGTCAGCTTTCGTCTTGTTGTTTCTTTCTATTTTTCAATACTGTTTCTGATAGAGGACGTAAGGGAAAAACGACTACGTTCTTTTATATTTTGAAGCTCCAGTTGTCTTTAAGCTCCTGAACTGAGAATCTTTGGGCAATATTGCCTCGATCTTTATTTTTACAGGTGTACCTGTATCGTATTACAACATAAAATACATTTGCTTGTATTTAATAGTAACATTACTTTTTATTTGACTGACCTTCAGGAAGAACGTTACTAATGCGTTCGGTACGAAAAATACAAAGAAAACTGATGGTTTAGCTATAGATATGCGCTTCAAATGACCAAGAATTGATTTACACTACTTGTATTGACTGACCGTTATCTTTTCACTAAAACTCTAATTTTTGTCTAAAATATTAAAGAAAAAAAAATGTGAATATGAGAGTGAGCGAGAGGCCAAGGTTTTCTTTAGCATTTGATAGCATTTTCAGGTTCCACTAACTTTACTGAACAATTCTAATGTTCATAGCGTTGGGCTACCCCTTTTGGTTGAAGAGGCCTACTGAAGTATGCCTGGAAACATTAGTTATCCTCCCGTTACTTAAATTGATAAGCTATTTTGAAGCAGAAACGAGTTAA